ATGCCATGGGCCTTAGAAGTTCTAACTTTATCTGAACAGAACAGAATCTCTTTGAGATTCCTGAGTTCTAGCCCTTATACTACAGTAATGTGAAGCCAGCACAGAATTCTAATACAAACTCCTTGACAACTGAAACAGCTTATGTAAAAGGGTTCTCCAATTTAAAAAATGTTAATTTAAAATACTGTTTTTAAAAAAAATTTTCACTTTCATTCAACATACACCATGTATCTTCTACGTGCCAGGCACTGTCCTAGAAGCTGACAATAAGAAAAACAGCCATGGACTCTGCCCGCAAAGAGCCTCATCTAACGGGGGAGGTGGACATTCATAACACAAACACAGGCAGTTACAGTGTAAGTGCTACGAAGGGAAGGACAGGGCATTAGAGTACGATAGACAGATTAACTGAGATTGTGTAGCCAGGGATGACGGAAATAACATTTCAGCTGAGACCAAATGAGTGACTGAAGTTGGCAGATGAAGAGTAAAGAGAACAGAGTTCAAAAAAGATTACAGGACTAAGAAGTCGCAGGGGGGCTTCCCTGGTGGTGCAGTGGTTAAGAATCCACCTGCCGATGCAGGGGACATGGGTTTGATCCCTGGTCCGGGAAGATCCCACAGGCTGCGAAGGAACTAAGCCCGTGCGCCACAGCTACAGAGCCTGCACTCTAGAGCCCGGGAGCCACAACTACTGAAGCCGGTGCGCCTAGAGCCCAAGCTCCGTAACAAGAGAAGCCACCACAGTGAAGAGCAGCCCCCGCTCTCCACAACTAGAGAAAGCCCACGCACAGAAACAAAGACCCAACGCAGCCAAAAATAAATATGTAAAAGCAAAAAAACAAAAAACCTCCCTCTGCTTTAAAAAAAAAAAAAGAAGTCTCGGGGGTGGAAGAGAGCCTGTGACCAGAAATTCCACGAAGTCAGCATGGGAAGTACGCTGTGAATAAGCAGGTGAGTGGACTGCAAGGAGGTCAGTTAGGCAGTGGTCAGACGAAGCAGGTTCCTGTAGGCCAGGAGCCTGCAGGCAATACCCTACCAAGTACAAAGAGCACAACAGGGCTTTGAGCAGAGGGTGACATGATCTGATTCACCTACGTTTAAGAAGATCACTTGCTATGTAAAGAACAGTTTGGAGGGAAGAAGGAGTGGAAGAAAGATCTGTGACATGGGAAGACAACAAACTATTAATTTTAATAAACCATATATTCTTTTTTTTTTGCAATACGTGGGCCTCTCACCACTGCAGCCTCTCCTGCTGCGGAGCACAGGCTCTGGACGTGGAGGCCCAGCGGCCATGGCTCACAGGCCCAGCCGCTCCGCAGCACGTGAGATCCTCCCAGACTGGGGCACGAACCCACGTCCCCCGCATCGGCAGGCAGACTCTCAACCACTGCGCCACCAGGGAAGCCCGCATAGACCATATATTCTTAAGTAACTTTACTGAAGTATAATTTACTTATAATAAAACACATCCAGTTTAAGCGCACAGTTTAAAAGAGGTCGATGAAAACACTCAGTAACCACCAGCAAACTGAGATATAATTTGCGTCACCCCCCAAATTCCCTCATGCCACTCTGTAGTCAATCCCCCATCCCCTAATTCTGATCTGCCTCTGTAACTATAGCTTAGGTTTTCTTTTTTGACAATTTCACATTGATAAGTGGAATCCTAAGAGTATTACTCTTTTGTGACTAGCTTCTTTTGCTTGGCATGATGTCTTTGAGATTCATCCATGTTTTGCATGGGGTGGTAGTTTACTTCTTTTATTGATGAATAGTATCCCATTGTATGGATACATCACAATTTGTTCACCTGCTCACTGGTATTTGGATTGTTTCCCATTTTCGGTTATGAACATTTACATACAGTATTTGTAAGGATACATGTTTCAATTTTTCTTGGATAAAAATCCAGGATAATTGATAAGTGAATGTTTAAATTCACAGGAAATAAGCTAACTCCTTACCAAAGTGACTGTACCATTTTACACTCCCACCAGCAATACGCGGCAATCCCAGTTGCTCCACATCTTTGATATCACTTAGTTTTGTCAGCATCTAAAATTTTAATCATTCTACTAAGCGTGCAGTGATGTGTCATTACGGTTTTAGTTTGTTGGCTAATGATACTGAGCATCTTCTCCTGTGCTTATTGGGTGTTCATAGGTAGATTTTCTTTCGTAAAGTGGCTTCCCAATTTGGGTTGTCTTCTGATTAGGTTATAAGTATTTTTTATATATCCTGGATGCAAGTCTATTGTCAAATATATTTTTATGAATTTTTTCTCTGTTTGTGGCCTGCCTTTTCAAATGCCTTTAAAATTTTGTAGTAGTCCAATTTGCTTTTACTTTCATGGTTTGTACTTTATAAGTCCTATCTTTAAAAAAAAATCTCTTCCTTATGGTAAAAATAACAGAGATTTTCTATGTTTTCCCCCAGAAGTTTTATAGTTTTAGGTTTTAACATTGAAGTCTATGATCCTTTTTTTTTTTAAATTTATTTTTGGCTGTGTTGGGTCTTCGTTGCTGCGCACGGACTTTCTCTAGTTGTGGCAAGCGGGGGTTACTGTTCATTGCAGTATGCGGGCTTCTCATTGCAGTGGGCTTCTCTTGTTGTGGAGCACGGGATCTAGAGTGCAGGCTTAGTAGTTGTGGTGCACGGGCTTAGTTGCTCTGCGGCATGTGGGATCTTCCCAGACCAGGGGTTGAACCCATGTTCACTGCACTGGCAGATGGATTCTTAACCACTGCGCCACCAGGGATGTTCTATGATCTATTTTGAGTTCATTTTTTACATGATGTAAGGCAAAGTTGGAGGTTCATTTTTGCATCTATTGATATCCAATTGGTCCAGCACTGTATGCTGAAAGAGTATCTTTCCCCATGGAAATACCTTGGCACTTCTGTTGAAAGTCAACTGACTAAACATGTTTGCATCTATTTCTGGCTTTTCAACGTAGTTCTGTTGTAAATACTCTGGAACATTTCCACATACGATCTCTGTTGCATATTCTTCTTCTTAAAAGAGCCCTTAAAAAATGTAAAACCTATTCTTAGCTCACTGGCTGCGAAGAAGCAGATTGTAGGCCACACGTGCTGAACTCTGCTCCATATGTCTACCCTCATGACTACGCACACTGTCTTGATTTCTATAGTTTCAGAGTAAGTCTTGAAATCAGATGGTGTAATTCTTCCAACTTTGTTCTTTATTTCCTCTAAAATCGTTATGGATACTTTAGGTTCTTTGCATATCCACATAAATTTAACAATCAGCTTGTCAATTACTACCAAAAAAAAGAAACCTGCCAGAATTTTGAGTGAGAATGCACTGAATGTACAAATAAATTTTGAGAGAATTAGCCTCTTAATAGTACTGTGTCTTCTGATCCAAGAATATGGTACATCATTTAATTTATTTGGGTCTTCTTTTATTTTTCATGGCAATGTTTTCTAGTTTCTGGTGTACAGGTATTCCACATATCTTGTTAAATTTACCCCCAAGTATTTCATGATAGTTTATGCTATTATAAATGTTTTCTTAATTTAATTTTCCACTTTTTTGTTGCTAGTAAAGATATATGGATTTTTCTATATTGATTTTGAGTTCTTGTTAAACTCACTTATTACTTCTGGTAGTTTTAATAGGATCCTTAGAGTATACAAATAGATGATAAGCACATCAACAGTGCTCACCATCACTGCATCTGGAAAATGCAATTAAACACAGGAGATACCAATTCACGGTCACTAAAATGGCTACAATCAAAAGGACAATTATAGGACTTCCCTGGTGGCACAGTGGTTAAGAATCCACCTGCCGGGCTTCCCTGGTGGCGCAGTGGTTGAGAGTCTGCCTGCCGATGCAGGGGACGCGGGTTCGTGCCCCGGTCTGGGAGGATCCCACGTGCCGCGGAGCAGCTGGGCCCATGAGCCAGGGCCGCTGAACCTGCATGTCCGGAGGCCACAACGGTGGGAGGCCCATGTACCGCAAAAATGGGACACAGGTTCGAGCCCTGGTCCAGGAAGATCCCACATGCCGTGGAGCAACTAAGCCCGTGCGCCACAACTACTGAGCCTGTGCTCTAGAGCCTCCAAGTGACAACTACTGAGCCCATGTGCCACAGCTACTGAAGCCCGCACGCCTACAGCCCGTGCTCCACAATAAGAGAAGCCACCACAGTGAGAAGCCCACACTTGCCGCAACTAGAGAAAGCCTGTGCGCAGAAACGAAGACCCAACACAGCCAAAAATAAACAAAATAAATAAATAAAATTTTTTTAAAAGACAATTATAAATATTGGCAAGGATGTGAAGAAACTGCAACCCTGATACATTGTCAGTGGGTATGTAAATGATTCAGCCACTTTGGAAAATAGTACAGCAATTTCTTATAAAGTTAAACATAACTTTGCCATATGACCCAGCAATTCCAATTCGGTACGTCTACCCAGGAGAATTGAAAACACAGGTCTATACAAAGACATAATGTTTATAGCAGAATCAGTCATAAAAGCCCCAAAGTGGAAACAATCCAAATGTCCATCAGCTGGTAATGAACATACAAAATGTGATATATCCATACAATCCATACAATATATTCCTTTTTATCCAGTCAGCAATAAAAAGGAACAAACTATTGAAACATGCTAAATTATGGATGAATCTCAAAAATGATATGCTGAGTGAAAGAAGCCAGACACAAAAGACTACATATAACATGCTTTCATTTACATGCAATGTCCAGAAAAGCAAGTCAAAAGAAACAGAAAGTAGATGAATGGCTGTCAGGGGCTTGCTACGCAAATGGGAACGAGAGATCTTTTTGGAGTGATGAAAACTGTTCTAAAACTGGATCGCTCTGATGGTTGTACGACTTTATACATTTACCAATAATCACTGAATTACGCTTAAAATGGATGGTTTATGATATGTAAATTATACCTCAGTAAAGCTGTAAAAGAAAACTTAATGCCGAGTGAATAGTGAGTTTGTAGAATGTTATATTCATTAAGATGGAATTTACATAAATGTAAAAATACAATATACACACACACATATAGAGAGAGAGGTATAATATATGTAGTGCAATGTGAATGCACGAACTAGATACACACCCAAATCAGATATACTGGTTGCATCTGGGGAGGGATGATAGGTCTGAGGAAGAGAACATAGAGGACTTTATTTGTCATGTTTGAGGCAAAAACAAACACATGGCAAGATGTTAACATTTGTCCATTTTGGGTGGTAGATACGTGAGTTTTCCCTAAATTATTTTTTGTACTCTCCCATATTTTTTTCAATTAAAAATCAAAACAAAACTAAATTAAACCAAAAAACCAAAAGCAAACATAAATTATTACCTAGTTCCTTCATTAATTTTAATTCCTTTACGGCTTTAATTCGAATATCAAACACCACCTAAAATAGAGAAATAAACTAATGACTGCGTATAAGTTAAAAGCAATGGGAGGAGAGGCAACTGAAGATTGCCCGTGTGTCCAATACACAGGTTGAGCTATTAATTACCTTACAGTTAGCAGTGTTTGCCTACTTGAAAAAAATTTTTTTCCATCTCTGAAATTATTTTCTCTCTTCTACAAAGTCAAAGGCAAAAACTTAGATCTCGGTTAAGTTTTCACCAAACTGATAATAATTGGAATGGAAAGGCCGCCTACAGAAAACTTTAGAAAACCAAAGACTTAATAGTAGCAAAAGGCAAAAGTTGACAAACAGTTAACTTTTCTGATGATAGCAAACAAAAGAAACTATAGGTTTCTTTATGTTAAGAATGATGAATTCAGGGTCAGTGCAGGGGACATGGGTTCAATCCCATGTCTAGTCTGGGAAGATCCCACATCTTCGTTAATAATATAATATAAAACTGTACTAATAATTAATAAGCATTAATAATATAAAAATGTACTAATCCAAGGGTGCTATTTAAAATTTCTACTTAAATTATTTTAGACTGTGTCTTCTTTTCTTTTTTAAAATTCAGGCTAATTGCCTCTAGGGCATAAAATCGTGGAAATTTAGGGGTAAAGCTGACGACAGAGACCATTGACTCTACTTCCCCACCGGTGCCCCCGCCATGCCCCCCACTGTGCCAAGACGGAACGGAGCCTGCAGTAACCAAGGACTGCACCAGCCTCCCATTCGGGGTCAGGGGCGGTAGGTCTCCTGAGATTTGGGCCATTGACCTTATACTGTTCCCACTAATGTGCAAACAAACCTTAAGAAACTATAATTTTATATAAAAGAAAACACTCTAAATTTTTAAAATAAAGTGACAGAAAAACTTAATAAGTGGAGACTACATAAATATAAAAAGATGTTTCCTGAAATAATGTTGAAGGAAACCAGTATAATAGTCTTAAATGGAAAACTGAAAAAACTCCCTTTGAAGAGCAACTGGCTTTATACAGAGCACAGAGTATACTGTCAAGCAATTTAAGATAAACTTTAAAAAACCCAAACACCAAAGAGCACAAAACCAAAACATATATACCTTGTTTTAAAAATATAGAAAAGACTCTTGAAAATAGCATTTCACAGTTCTCAAAGTCAGAAGATTCCATGAACTAATTAAAAAGGTAACTTCCACATTCTAATTCTAGGCTTTGGAGGGAAAAAAAGGCATATATTTTCTGGAAATATGCCAAGGGCTAACAAAGGTAAGTAAGCAATAATCAAATGTTACAAATAAAAAGGTGATTTCTTAAGATTCAGAAGTCTACTGAGATAACTGTTCTGGAAGATGAAGGTGTTGCTTTCTAAATAGAATTGTATTAATGGAAAACCATCAACCACACTCAAATCAATGTTCTACTCACTGTGGTAAGAGTTGCTGATATTTTAACATGTTCTTCTTCAGAGTCTAATTGGCATAAATTTTTAACTTGGAGCCAGTCGATCTCATTCACACTGGTGATCCATTTCCCTTGTTTGGTCAACAAACTGTAGGGTAAAAAGACATTTAAAAAATGTGTCTTTACACAGCCCTTTTATGGATCAGAGAGGATTGGAAAATTCATGCTTTTCTTTAGGCACCACTTCCAAAATTCTGCATGTGTCACTTAATGTGACTAATTAAAGGTGACCAAGTTCTACTGAGTTGGGTTTCTGAAAGTTCACTATCTTTTTAGGGTAGTGTTAAGACAGTATTCCACGGAGTCTATATTCATGATTCCAAATATTCTTTGATTTGTACAAATAATTTGTTGCCACATTTTTCAAAGAGAACTGTTGTAATTGAACAACCAGTTGTTAACGTCTACCTGCACGCTGCAATCACCAGGGGAGCTTTAAAAGAGTACCTACGCCAAAAGCCCACCCATAGACTTTAGTAGTTTAAAAGCAGGACAGCATGCACAGCCGTGCAGACTGACGCTGAATAAAATACCACATCTGGACTTCCCTGGTGGCGCAGTGGTTGAGAGTCCGCCTGCTGATGCACGGGACGCGGGTTCGTGCCCCTGTCCAGGAAGATCCCACATGCCGCGGAGTGGCTGGGCCTGTGAGCCATGGCCGCTGAGCCTGCGCGTCCAGAGCCTGTGCTCCACAACGGGAGAGGCCACAGCAGTGAGAGGCCCGTGCACCGCAAAAAAAAAAAAAAAAGTACCACATCTAATGGATATCATTCACATCATATACTCTGTATGTTTATATTTTTATTATAGAGGTTTTAAAAAATTTTATGATAGCAGATGGCAGTGGAGTGTCTTGTTCTAACAAGATTTTCCTGCAGATAATAGTAAAGATTCTTGAGGAAGGAGTGACTTCTTACTAATTCACAAAGAGGCACTGAGTGGGCTAGCGGAAGTCCTCTTTGGGAGTGTGTAGCAGAGCCCCAAAACACAATTCTACTCTTCATTTCAGTTATTCCTCTCTGGGACTCCACCTTGAGTTAGCAATCTTAAATAGAGCAAAGCTTTAAGCACAAAGATGTTCCCTGAAGACCACCTTAAAATAATGAAAAACTGGATGATAACAAGGATGCTAGCTAAACTATCTAGCACTTACTATGTGTAAACACTTGTAAGCTCTTAACTCCTTCAGTCCTTACGACTGTATGAAGCTGGTACTAATTATTATGCTCATTTTACAGAAGAAGAAATTAAGCAGAGAGAGATGATGTAACTTGCCCACGGTCACACTACTAGTAAGTGATAAAGCTGGAAACAAAGCCAGGCAGCCAGCCCCCAAGGCCTTGTCTCTACCCACTCCTCACACAGGAGCAGTCAGGTAACCTATAACACCAACATAGGTTATTATGCAGCCATGAAATGAGGTTTATGAAGAGCCTTCAAACATGAGGGGAGGGCTTCCCTGGTGGCGCAGTGGTTGAGAGTCTGCCTGCCGATGCAGGGGACACGGGTTTGTGTCCTGGTCCGGGAAGATCCCACGTGCCGCAGAGCGGCTGGGCCCGTGAGCCATGGCCGCTGAGCCTGTGCTCCGCAACGGGAGAGGCCACAGCAGTGAGAGGCCCGCGTACCACAAACAAAACAAAACAAAACAAAACAAAACAAAAACATGAGGGGAAAGCAGGATATAACTATTTATCTACAATATCATCAGTATTATGTTTAAAAAGGAAAAAACCAGACTTCCCTGGTGGCACAGTGGTTGAGAATCCGCCTGCCAATGCAGGGGACATGGGTTCAAGCCCTGGTCCGGGAAGATCCCACATGCCGCGGAGGAACTAATAAGCCCGTGCACCACAACTACTGAAGCCCGCATGCCTAGAGCCCGTGCTCTGCAACAAGAGAAGCCACTGCAATGAGAAGCCCGCGCACCGCAACGAAGAGCAAACCCCCTCACTGCAACTAGAGAAAGCCCACGCACAGCAACGAAGACGCAATGCAGCCAAAATATATATATATATAAAATAATAAATTAATATGAAAAAACCCTTCAAAACAAAAACCCAATTATTTGAGCTCAGAAAGCTAACAGTGACAGACACTGCATGAGTGTCTGTCACGCAGACACGCATGAGTGGTATGGTGATGCTGTTTTGGGTCTCCTGTCTTCACCTCTATATTTCCCAAGTCCTAATGAAAGTATATTACTTTCTAAAAAGAAATTTATAATAAACTTTTAAATTAAATAAACAAGATAGGGAAATAAATGTCTGGAAAACACTTGTCGAAAAGAGAGTGATAAATGTAATACAAAATAAACACACTTCACAAGTGCTCTGCTTCTCTACGTCACAGCCACTAATAATAATACAGAGCCTCTGTAATCTATGTATATTCACAGCACTGATAAAGCAGGGAACTGATTCATTGGTCATAACCTGAAGTCTTCAATGTGTGGAAGTTGGGGGGGGTTACAGTGTATGATAATGCTGACCACGGAAGTGTACTGGCACAGACATGGGTAACAAAAATGAAGAGAGGAAGCACCCCCGAGCTTCAAATGTGACTTACAGGAACCAAGGCTGCAATTCCCCAAGTAATTGCCTCACCTGGGCAGCTGGGAGGATCTCAAGCATCATAAAAAGGATTATAACAAAAAACTGAACTGCCTTCTGAGATCCTTGTGACAAGACAAATTTAGCTGTGATAATACCTTCCTCATGAAAAATTTTAGGAACTTTCTCTGTGAGAATGTGCCCTCCGTCTTATAATGAGTGCTAATCAGAATTAATTGATAAGATTCTGTTTTACGGCCAACTAATCTACACTATATCTAGCCTATACCTATATTATTCAGTTACCACATTTACCAAAAAAAAAAAAAAAAAAATCACATTACAATATCATTTTTCTCCAGGTTGCCTAACCACGAACATTCCTATTTACAATATATAGAACACAATGTCTAGAAGTAAAACGAAACATTTAGTTATCATTATTAATATAAAGCTTTAGAGTTCTAAGATACAGCACTGTAACTACAATAAGTTTAAAAAGAATTCTTCTCTTAGCAAGTTACCTGTTACCATCATTAGAATCCTGAATTAAAATTGAGCTTCCGTTTCTGAGACCTTGTTCTCTGAATGTCTTCTTCAAGTCTTCCCTGGGAATGGCGGTCCAGCTCTCTGCACCTACAGACTCAGCACTGTTGACTAAGATGACTCCGTCTGGGATTGCACAGGCTGTGAATACACTACCTATTTCTGCATTAGATGGAAAGACATGTGGAGAGTCTATCAACTGCTGACACTGCTCTTCTTCACTGCTTGTTGCCGGATGAAGAACATTTAAAAGCAGAGGTTCACAGTCACTACCAGCTGGAATCTGGACTCCGCCAACCTACAGCAATATCAAGTCAGCCATTAGTATAGCTCATATTTGCCAAAATCAAGTCAACACAGTAATGTAGACTCTTGTAGAACAATTCCCATTTTTTTTTCTTTTCACATGAAATAAAGTTTTCACAAATGTCTTTTAAGTATCAGAAGAACAGCTTTCGATTTCTGAAGCTTTTTCTTAGCCATCTTTTACTTTTTAGGAGAGAAATCTGAAGTGGAGACAGACACGTGAGTCCTCAGCAATGGTAAATGTATGAGGTGGACCGAGGACGTCCACTGAGTGGGTGAGATGCTCCTCACTGCTCTCTTGACTGTGCTCCCCTAAGTCGCCTCTAGCCCTAACAGTGTGACGAACCGCTCCTTCTGAATTCTCATCAAGAGTATGTAAAGGGCTTCCCTGGTGGCACAGTGGTTGAGAGTCCGCCTGCCGATGCAGGGGACATGGGTTCGTGCCCCGGTCCGGGAAGATCCCGCATGCCGCGGAGCGGCTGGGCCCGTGAGCCATGGCTGCTGAGCCTGCGCGTCCAGAGCCTGTGCTCCACAGCGGGAGAGGCCACAACAGTGAGAGGCCCGTGCACCGCAAAAAAGAAAAAAAGAGTCTGTACAGACCCTCCTGCTCACCTATCTCAGCACAGTGACCCACACTATGTGCCTGAAGGATACAGACTGATCACTTATTTACCTTTGTGTCTAGCTTCTGACACACAGCCTGGCACCGTGGAGGTGTTCTACAACTATCTCTTGAACATATAACCAACACTGACTGTACTTAAAATTTATTGGATAGGGCTTCCCTGGTGGCGCTGTGGTTGAGAGTCCACCTGCCGAGGCAGGGGACACGGGTTCGTGCCCTGGTCCAGGAAGATCCCACATGCCGCGGAGCAGCTGGGCCCGTCAGCCATGGCCGCTGAGCCTGCGTATCCGGAGCCTGTGCTCCGCAACGGGAGAGGCCACGACAGTGAGAGGCCCGTGTACCGCAAAAAAAAAAAAAAAAAAATGTATTGGATATTTCAGCAGTTTTCTAATATGTAAGTGCTGTCGCATATGCTGAATAAAATTTTATCACAACTTAAAAAATATCCAAAACTCTCGTGAACATTTCTTCAACACTTATTTACCTCCACCCCATTCCATACAAAGATGTCTTCCCCATCAGCAATTTCAATTTCACACAGTGTCAGGTGATCTCCTAGGAAGATGAGATTATCAGTGAAACCATTCTCATGATCATCAAAAACAAATTTAACTAAAGCAACAGCCAAGACACAAACATTTGTTTGAAAAGAAGCATTCTCATTGAGGAAAACTAAGAAAAAGGGAGTAATTATGTTTGTTATATTGATATTATTTTACATTATTTTTATCTTTCTTCCTTCCATCACGCTCTTTAGCCTTTTTTTTCCTCTGTTTTCATTTTATGTAAGCATTTCCCCCATAAGATTTGTGGGCATGAGAGTAGGAAAAAAAAAAAGTTAATAAAAAAGGTCAACTGTACTTGACACTGTGAACACGGGGAAGGCTTACACATCAAGCGGTCCTCACTCACCCACTAATGAGCTGTATGACCTTGTGGACTTCAAGCCTCTATGCTTCAGTTTTCTCATTTATGAAATGGGGATAAAGGAATTTTGTGAAAATCAAATTAGATAATTTACACAAAACACTTATCTCAGTATTTGGTACCGTGAAGTCCAAGATAAATGTTACTGCTGCTACTGCTATTACTGTTCTGTTGTTATTTAAAGAAAGTACTTTTAAGCTCCTGAAGCACTTTTGTTTTGCTACAAAGTCTGAAGCTGAGATTGGATTAAAAAAACAAGCCATATTTAACAAGATTTAAATGGTTTCAAGCCATTTTACTCAGAAGTTTGTGGTAATATAAAAAAATTTCCAAAGCCTTTAAGAAAAACTTTGTTTAGGTAGAGAAGTAGCCTTAATTTCAGAAAATATAAAACATTTCCACGTTAGCAAAATTTCACACATCACATATACTGGATACATTATAAACTAAATAAATTATTTGTTTTATTAAATATGAAAAACTAAACATATTACTTGTTAAAACCAATGTGATGAGAACCTGCATAGCTAAGAAAAGGAGTATGTAGGGGAAAGACTGGCCAAGAGCAGAAAAGTCTCAGGTGATGATGAGCCCCACAAAATGCACAGATGATCCCCACAAAATGTACATACACACAATAAGTTGCTGGGTTTTAATATTTCTCTTACCATCAAGTGTCTGGTAAACATGAAGTCCTGCTGGTACAAACTTTGCAACACTAAGAACCATATCTCCTTCCCAAAATTCTAACAGCTGCAGAATATGAATGAAAGAAAAGAGAACAATGAAAAATCACATATAGATCACTTTTCTAGGTTAAGTAAGAAGAGCACTGTGCCAATTTACTTATGTAGCCGATACAGGGAACAAGAAAATGAATACGACAATCCCCATCCAGCACCAAAAATGAGGAAAGTAGACATCTTTCAATGTTAAATCAGTCAAATCCAAAGATGGTTAATCTCACATCCATTAGTGACTGAAGAACCCTGACATACACAAAGAGCACAATGACCATCTAAACAACAACCATTTCTACTTAATTTATGGGAAGATCACTTTTATCAGAAGGCAAGCAAAATGATCAGTGTGCCAGCCCAGGAATCCTGGTCCAAAAGAGCAAAAATTATGTGTTTAATCAGTACTATTCAGGGAAAAGCAGCACACATGAATACTCTTGTTTCTCGAAAGGAATGTCTCCCACTGTAAATTTAAAAAGTAGCATTACCAGTTTATTTAATAGATTACCAGGGATTTGTTTTTTAAGTTTCTAGCTCCAAGACTCTGGGGACTGTGGTAACCTCACCAAAACAATGTCACCAATAAAGGTCAGTCCTATTTAGTCCCTCTCCACAATATCACAAGACAGTTCTCTTAAAAAGAAATTTCATACTTACACATGGTTACTTAACTGTCAGGCTCTCAGTCTCTTGCCAGTGGCTTAATTCTAAGATAACAGAGATGTGCACTTAAACCATCAAAAAGCAGACTGGTGTGAAATCTAAACCTTATAAAGGTGACCAAGGTCTTTTCCACTTGAAACGTTACCCTAGGCAGGGTCAAATCCCCAAGTCCACCTATATCATCACTGCCAGGATTGGCTCAGAAATGAACTTTTAGTGGAAAAGCTCAGAAGTAGATAATTTTAGAACTCGTGATCCTGATCCAACATTTAAATATTCAAATCAACTAAAGTTAAAGAAGAAATTGGTCTGCTTTTCTTTGTACAAGAGGAAAATCAAAAGAAAGCTAACAATTTTGGTAAATGATACAGTTTTTCAGAAAATTCACTTAATTCTGAGCGGGGGGGAAGCTTACATTTTCTATTTCCCTTTTCCTCTATCAGGAAGCAGTGTGGAGTGGAGTATAATTAAGAGGAAAGAAAGAGTAGGGAGACCAGGGCTGGAGTCCTAGTTCTACTGCTAACTAGATGGCAGACCCTGGGCAAGCCATTAGATCTCTTCAAATCACAATTTCCTCATCTTTAAAATGGGGTTATCTTGCCCTCATGAGGTTAAAGAATCATATGATAGAATTTATATGAAAACATTGTAAGTAAAATAAAGAGCACTGTTGTTGTCGTCATTAAAACACGACTGGATAAATAATTTTGAGACAATGATTACAACAATGTTTGCTTTTACTATAGACCAGTAGACATTTTCCTTCACTTAGGAATCTTATTAATAAATGTTATTCTACACTGAAAGGTAGAAAAGTTAGTTGCTTTTATTTGTTTAGTAGCTCTTGGTTTTAGGCAACATAATTATCTATCTTTTTACTCCTTTTAAAAGACAATTCTCTTTCATTTATTTTTCCCAAAAGAGACAACCTTATACTCTTTCTCTCCCCCAGATTAAATATACCAGGCTTGATTCTCCCCTGAAAACCTGCTGGCAGGACTCTGTGAGTCTTGATTGTGCAGAAGAGCCTCTCTAAGAGATTTACGAGTGAGGGGAGAACATTTGGACCATCGCTCTATGGAAGTGGTAGATGTAGGATTTTCCTAAGCAGCTGTGAAAAATAAATAGTTGTATCCTAAACAGGAGTTTGAAAAGGAGAATCCAGCTTAAGACAGCTTAATGTCTATTAAGAGTAAGTGAGGCTAAATTACCTGAAATATTGATTGTCGAAGATCTCCTAAAGTTTTTCTTTTATCAAAGGTCAAATCCCACATGCTTTCTGTTTGAGAGACTACTGGGTGCAGAGCCCCATTGAAGAAACGATAATGAGGGCCGAGGTGGAGATGCAATTCAAAATTATTGTTTGTAGAATCACATTCTGCCCTTTAAAGAGGCATAAAAAATACATAAATGTCATGTTTTTACAGCAGATACTGTTTCATCTCAAACCAAAAACATTTGATTTACAATATAAAGAAGTTCTCCACTCCACCTAAGTAATTATAATTAACATCCTTTTCTTCCATGCTCCAAAATAACTCAGTTTAGTTTCTCAATTAATAGCTCTGCCACGGTGAATTCCAAGGAAGATGGTTTTAATGCACACTGTGCAGTGTTATTCTGAACAAATACTGACACTTGAACTCGTCCAATACTGAGATTATAATTATGAACAAAATGCTGGAAACACGTTCCTATAACTGTGGTAAGTGCTAGATTTACAACTTCTATTTTCTCCTTGCTTCAACTAGACCCCACAGACTCTCCCATAAACTATTTGAAGTCAGCTTCATGATCCTTGGAGTCTGCTCTCTCCAAGTCAAATGGCCTCAGCAGCAGCCGGGCGCTTGCTACACTTTTCTGAACCCACTCAGCTGCTGTGAAGCACGGCACCAAAAACACTTCAGGCAGCCCCACCAATGGAGAGCTGGATGAAGCTATAGCCACCATTCCGGTACCTCAGGCACAATTCTGTGAATGCCGTCAAAGACAGCATGAGCTTTTCCATGACCACATTAAAAAGCTTAGTGCTCGGACTAAAACCCCATAGGCTGTTTTTGTTTTTAATACCAACTGCTAATCCACACCACTCATGCAAGATGGTTATCTTTCGCACTTAAGATATTTTACTCTGTTAAATTTTTATATTTTTAGTGTCTTGATTTTTGTTGAGATGTCCTCTGATCTTAATTTGCCATTTTTTTCTCAGCTTCAAATCAATGATAAAAATGTTGAACACATCCCTGCTATGTAATCAGCCCCTCAGGTCCACAAGAAGACCATGGGAACATCCATTTCCCTAATCCAGTACCTCCACCGACCCAGAGAGCAAAGAACCAGTTCTTCATGGTCCAAGGTTAGACCTCAAAAGAGAAGGTTCCCATCATCAAGTTCTCACAAACCATCCCTTTAATAATCCACTGTAGGGTTTTGCCCAAGATTGACATTAAGCCAAACAGTCTGTAGACTCCACAGTTCCTCCCATTTGCCCACCTCTGGTCTGAGGTCACTACGGGCTAGTTCTTCACAAACCACTTACACGTGAGGGCGGATTTTCACAATGGGCTCTGTGCCGAGGGAATAACCTGACAGGCCAGGACACAATTCATTCAGCACAACTACGTGCTCACAGATTTCTCTAGTTTTCTTAGGCTTCAATCTCTACTCAGCGATGGCCATTTGTCATTATTTCATTCACTCGCACTGGGTAATTTCAAAGTAAAAGATACTCTCAGTATAAAAATTCAGCAGCTAATAAAAAGACACCGGCATTAAACAGTTCACTTTTTCCGCTTTAATTTTTGTTACTGAATACTTAAGACCTAAGTTAGATCCTCGCTCCCCAGAAAAACGATTCAAACTCTAAAAGTAATTTAAAATTACCTTTGTATTTGTAGTTCAATGTTGGCTGCATCCATCTCATTCAGCAAATGGCACGGAACCCTGTGTCTTGGGTTAGCTCGAGCTGTGAACAAAATTTTCCATTAACTTGTGCTGACTACATAAAAACTGGCTGCTGAAGAGGTAGCACAGAAAACTAGAAAGACCTCGCTGGGAGCTAGGAGAGCTTCTACTGCCTGTGTGAACATGAATTTTCTCTGGAACTCAGTTTTCCCATCTTCAAATTGAAAACATTAAAACATATGAAAGGTAAACAGTTCTTTAAGCCAAGCTAGAGAATTCCATTTCTTCAACTCTTTCCAAATATACTTTTTTAAAAGAACACCTACTGTTTTCTTCTTGATAAGAAATGTAATAATTGGTCACTGTGAAAGTTCTGGAAATGATTTTTTTTTAATGTAAAATAAATAAATATTACCTATAATCCCACTCCTAGGGAATACTGCTAAAATGTGATCTATATACTTCTGGTCTTTTTTCTGTTCTACACAATGTGTCTACACACACACACACACACACACACACAAACACACACACACACACACACACACACACACACACACACACCACACTTATTTAAAGCAACTGGGAGTATAGTCAACAAACATGTAAGTTGCTTTTTCATTTCATATGTTGTGAATATTTTTCCAAACCTTTAAATGATTGCATAGTAGCCCATTCTATAAATAGCATAATTAATCTAACCAATCCTTTTCTGGTAGACATTTAGGTGATTTCCTGTTAGTCATTACTATAAAATAACAGGGGTAGCAAACATCTTTGAACATAAATAGGTATACACAGTCCTGATTATTTCAAGACAAATTTGTGGAAGTATAATTATTGGTTTAAGGTTTTTAAGTACATACAACCAAATTGTTTGTATTACTTTATATACATACCAAATATAGAGGTAGTGCCAACTGTTGAGAACCAGGTTAACAGAAATATTTGATTTGGTAAGAAAAAGGTTGTCATTCACTGCTGTTATGATTCATGTTTTTTGGTCATGGGTCAGATGGAATATTTATTTTTTTTTGCAGTGTACTGGCTGTCCTTATTTCTTCCTTTGTACGTTAGCTATTTATATCCTTTTCCCAATTTACTACTGAGCACAATGGAATAAATGTAAGAGCACTCTACAGATAGGGGAAATAAATTTGTCATATATTTTGCTGTTTTCCACCAGCTTGTCATTTGCCTTTTGGTATTACATAATAAGGTTTACATCACTTTTCCTCTATTTTTTTTTTCATTGCTTTTATGCTTAGAAAGGTCTTCTCTACCTTAGTATCAGAAAAATATTTATATTTTATGCATTTGAAGGCTCCTTTTTTACATCAACATTAAAGGAACTATAATTTCATGCAAGTGATAAATATAATCACTTGATTGTACTAACTGCTCATTCAAGTGATTAGCAACTAACCAACTTCTCAGTTGTATTTATTAATTCATTTTTCCCCTATTTATCTGAAAAGCTACCTTTTCATGGATTAAAATCTTAAAAATACTTAGATCAACTCCTGGGCTTACTGCTCAATGGTCTGTCCAGCTCTTTGCACTAGCACTACACTGTCTTAACTGCTACAGCACCATAAATATGCTTATACTGACACAGTAAAGTCTCCTTGAGTAGTCCCTTCTTCAATTTTCATTAATTTATCTTCCCAGGTAAATTTTAGGATCATTTTGCCAAGTTCCATCCATTCATCCCCCAAAAAAGTCCATCAAGATTTTTGTTAGATCTTTATTCAAATCTTAAGCTAACTGGAAAACTGTCACTTAGTACATATTCCAATCATGTACACACTGAAGTTCAGTTTAGTGAAAAGGACAATATGTCATCTGAAGAAAGTGATACACATTTCTGTAACTGTGAATTCAGCTCCCCAATATTTTTATCAGAACGATTACCATATTTTTTCCCCTCAGAAAAAAACAAACCCCCTTCTGGTCAACAGAACAGTTATGTAATTGTTTCAGATCCAGAGAGTTAATTTCCTTTGATTCATCTGCAAATCGGTAACTGCTTTACTCTTATTCTTTACAAAAATGATCACTATGCTCAGTCTCTAGGAACAGTAAGTATCCTCATCTCTAATCATAGATATGTCTGAATCTAAAGAGCTTTCCCAGTTGCACAAATTTTGGGAAGTGATCAAATAAAGTCTTACAGACTGATTCATGTTAGTAGCTTCAATTCAAAAATTTATCACTGTGGGTCTCAGTGTTTAACCTCCACCATGGTATGAACTCTCTTAGAAGATTCAACAGAGGGCTTCAGAGATATTTCAATTGCTTAGAGACTTATCACCTTGAGGAGAAGGAAAACAGAAAGGAAAATAGAAGAGAACACATGAAAATAAGACCAAGGCCACTTGCAGCTCAAAGACAACACATGGCCCAACTGCAGAGAGAAGCCTGAGCAGAGGACAATCACGTCTGCCCACACAAGAAAACATGATGTGATCCAAGAAAATGCAATTTTGAAAATCTAACTATAGCCTCATACTATTACAGGGGAATAAAACAGAAATATATAATCTTTATAAAAGGACAGAAGGTTGAGTTTTTTCTGGTATATTTCTTATGGTTAGCTTGAAAATATTTTAAAATGTTTCAAGAGTAGACCTTCTAAAGGGGTAAACTTTCAAATAACATTCAATATTTATCTTCTAAAGTGATCAACTTAAACAGGGACATTTATCTTTCCATACCTTCAGGGGGTCTCTGCAACTGGGATTTCCGATAAAACAACATGTAGGCACTTTCTTTACCCTGAAATTGCTGTTCAATATCCTTTTCCTTAATTGGCTGGACTTTGGAATCGTTTATATCAAACCAGTGGGGACAGGAGGGTCTATCATTTAATCCTGGGGGTTCTGAAGTAAGTGTCTTCAAAAGTTGCTGATCATTTCTTCGTATATCAGATTCACCCTGGAGAGAACAGTCCTTCAATAGACTAACTGTACTTTCATCTGAACTGAGCAGAAATATCTGAGAATGAAGCTGTAAAAACTATACAGAAAAAGAAAACAAACATTAGGTTAATGAAAAAAAATTTCATTGACATGATTACAAAATCTTTACCTTCCTTTCTGTGATTATGATTAGATATTTTAACGTCAACTTTTTGGCCTGGTCAGCTAAGAGGGAAAAATATTTCATTTGGGCCATGATAAAACATTTAATAAAAACCAGAGTGCTTTCTGTTAAATAGTCTAACAGTTATACCAAGGGAGAAAGCTGCCATGACACAATCTTAAAAATACTTTAATTATACCTCGTAACGCTGTTTTTAAAAAGTCTTTACTGAAACAGATTAGATAGAACAAACACTTTTGAAATGTTTAAAGCAATCCAAACAGAGCACAAAACAAAGGCAATTATACAATGAAGTACCATAGAAGATAATTTCAAAACTAGTGACTCAGACAAACTGTTGGGATATAGTCATAATTATAAGCTTACATTAACTAAATTAAGTGTTGTCTGTCCCGGAGGCTGACAGGCTAGCCCAGGAAATCAAAACATTGCAAGGCTTAAGTCATAATCTCAAAGACTATTATTTCTCAGGTTCCTCTACCTAAAGGATTAGGAAGAAAAAAACCTTCTCTCCCCATTGCCTATCCCACCTCCCCATCCCCTGCTCTACTCTTCTTTTAGTCCCTAATCTCTATGTGGCTTTGTATCACCCCCTTTTCTCTCAGTACAAACTACTTTATGTAGAAAATCACTTGGGAGGTATATGTAACATTTGCTTAGATCATCAATCAACACGGAAAAGTGATTTTCTCATTTTTTCTTGGAAAGGAAGAATTTATGATAATGTATACTCTCTAATCTAACAGAAGGGTATAGGGCATATGACCCAAAGGCATTATTGTTAACACTGTGTATAACAGATGGTAATATAGTTTTGTAGCTAATTTAAGTACAATAAAATAATAATTTGAAACCTCTGAGTAATGAATACTTTCTGTATAGCGAATCTTTTCTTTGTTTGATGGTTGAGGATTAACTCTTAAACCTCAAACTTCAGTGTAGTCTGGTTCCAGTAATGGTAGAGAACTTTTAATTGGACTAACCCCACTGATTAAAAATTATAAACTTTAGACAAAATAATGAAAACAATTGTTTGGAGAGTAACCAAAAGCTGACCTAAAGTGGAGGGAACATAATCCTTCAAAAGGGAAACAAGCTAGGTGAGTCCTGCATTAACCCACCACTTCCCAGTTTGTAGCAGAGCACGGCGGAAGAGAGTTCAAGCAAAGGGCAAGAGTCTTACTGGACTAAGGAAACAGAATTTGAGACTGCCACAGAGCCCAGAAAGTGAAAGAGAAAATCCCATAAAGGAGCCCCAAATCTCTATCAAATCCTCCTCAAATCCTTGGCTGAGTCTTAAATGGTACATGGACAGCCTGAGACCCAAGGAACTGAGCAGAAAGCAACAGCTGAGAGATTTAAGATCTGAGTAGAGATTTTAGCGCCCTGCTGCTGGGTAGAAAGAGCATATAGTTAAATAAACATGTTGTGAATGGAATAATAAATTAAGATAGATTAGAAAAAAGAAAGAAAGAGCATGGAGTTCAAGTCCTGCCAAATTAGAGGCATATGACAAACACCTCAGGCTTTCCACTGAAATCCTAGAAGGGCCATGTCTCAGGTCAGGGATTGGCAAACTTTTCTACAAAGGGCCAGACGGTAAGTATTTTAGGCTTTGTGGGCTAAGAGGCAAACTTGAGCACCTTTCTAAAGATAACTGTCTGAAAATATAAAGACAGTTCTTACCTGGGGGCTGTACAAAAAAGGCAGCAAGCCATAGTTTCTCCATGTTTGCTAACCTCTGCCTTAAGAGGGAGGACCATCCAGGCCCCAAGACTAACAGCTACTCCCTAGGACTAACAGCAACACATCCACCCTACCAAAGCCCCAACGAAGCTCCCACAGGATCAACATGATTCAAAGTTACTTAATGGCCTGTTAGAATATAATGAAAAACCCTTCAGAAACAATAACACAGGACTTGCCTGGTGGTGCAGTGGTTAAGAATCAGCCTGCCAATGCAGGGGACATGGGTTCGAGCCCTGGTCCGGGAAGATCCCACATGCTGCGGAGCAACTGAGCCTGTGAGCCACAACTACTAAGCCTGCGCTCTAGAGCCCACAAGCCACAGCTACTGAGCCCACACGCCTAGAGCCCGTGCTCCACAACAAGAGAAGCCTCTGCAATAATAAGCCTGTGCACCGCAACAAAGAGTAGTCCCCACTCGGTGCAACTAGAGAAAGCCCAGGCACAGCAACGAAGACCCAATGCAGCCAAAAATAATAAATAAATAAACCTTATAAAAAACAGTAACATAATCCACAGCCTCTAAAACACATCATCCACAATGTCCAAGAGGCAATATAAGAGTATATGACATGCAAAGAAACAGGACAATGTGATTCATAACCAAGAGATGACAGTCAATTCACAAGAGAAAAAAAAAGGTAATAAATACAGACCCAGAAATAATCCAGATGTTATAAGAGTAAACAGCTATTGAAATATGTAAATATGTAAATTTACAGGAAAGGATGTACAGAGTAGGTTCAAATGGGGAATTTCAGCAGAGAAATGGGCACTTTAAATAAGAGCTAAGAAAAAATTCTACAGCTGAATAACACAGTATCTGAAATGAAAAAATTCATTAATTCATTGGCTGGGCTTAACAGAAGACTGGATACAGTAGGAGAAACAATCAATGAACATGAAGACGGATCAATGGAAATTATCCAAATTGAGGGTGAGGGGAAAAAAAAACACCTCCTCCTAGAATATCTAAGACCAGTGAGGAAATACTGAATGGTCCAATATATATGTAACTGTAATTTCTGAAGAAGAGAGAGATAATGGGGCATAAAGACAAATTGAAAATATAATGGCCAAAACTGAAGAAAGATTTCAAGCCACAGATAAAAAAAATCTTAGCAAATACAAAGCAAATAAACACAAAGAACACCATACTGAGACACACTGTTATTAAATTGCTAAAAACCAAAGATAAAGAGATTATCTTAAAAGTAGACAGAAAAAAAGGACACATTACATTTAAGTAACACTGACTTCTCAGCCAAAATAAAGGAAGCCAAAACATAATAAAATGACATCTTTAAAGTGCTGAAAAAACCAATAAGAGCTATTAACCTAGAATTCTGTATCCAGGACTTCCCTGGTGGTGCAGGAGCCTGCCAATGCAGGGGACATGGGTTCGATCCCTGGTCCGGGAAGATCCCACATGCCATGGAGCAACTAAGCCCGTGTGCCACAACTACTGAGCCTGTGCTCTAAAGCCCACGAGCCACAACTACTGAGCCCGTGTGCCGTAACTACTGAAGCCCGTGTGCCTTAACTACTGAAGCCCACGTGCCTAGAGCCCATGCTCCGCAACAAGAGAAGCCATTGCAATAAGAAGTCTGCACACCACCACGAAGAGTAGCCCCCACTCCACCCAACTAGAGAAAACCCGTGTGCAGCAACGAAGACCCAATGCAACCAAAAATAAATAATTTTAAAAACAGAATTCCATATCCAGCAAAAATACCATTTAAACAAATGAATGCAAGATAAAAACTTCAGACAAACAAAAGCTGAGAATATTTTTGCCAGCAGTTCTGGATGCCCAAGAACCGCTAAAGGAAGTTCTCTAGGTTGAAGGGAAATGATATTAGATGCAAACCTCATGCAAGAAGGAGCAATGAACACCAGAATGGATAAAATAAAACATGATTTTTTCATTAATTTCTTTAAAAGTTGCTTAAATGTTTAAAGTAAACACATACATACATACATACATACATACATACATACACACACGGTGAATTTACATATAATGGTAAAATATAAGACAACAGCAGAAAAGGATGGAAGTCAGGAAATGGAATTATACTACTGTACCTTGTACATCTTACCTTGTACATGAAGTGTTACACTATTGGTCTGTAATTTACAATATTAACTTATGTACAGTGTAAGCCCTAGAGTAAAAAAGTTAAAGTAGTACAGCTAAAAAGTCAACAGAGGAGACAAAAATCAAACACTAAAAATTACTTGATTAATCCAAAGGTAAGAAAGACAGAAAGAAAGGCAGGAAAGACAGGAGAAGCAAATAAAAAACAAACGGCTACATGATAAATTCAAACTCAACCACACAATTTAATACATTAAAAATAAATGGGGGGCTTCCCTGGTGGCGCAGTGGTTGGGAGTCCGCCTGCCGATGCAGGGGATGCGGGTTCGTGCCCCGGTCTGGGAAGATCCCACGTGCCGTGGAGCGGCTGGGCCCGTGAGCCATGGCCGTTGAGCCTGCTCGTCCGGAGCCTGTGCTCCGCAATGGGAGAGGCCGCGGCAGTGAGAGGCCCACATACCGCAAAAAAAAAAAAAATAAATAAATAAATAAATAAATAAATGGGGACTTCCCTGGTGGTGCAGTGGTTAAGAATCCGCCTGCCAATGCAGGGGACACAGGTTCAATCCCTGGTCTGGGAAGATCCCACATGCCGCGGAGCAACTAAGCCCGTGCGCCACAACTACTGAGCCTGTGCTCTAAAGCCCGCGAGCTACAACTACTGAGCCCACGTATGACAACTACTGAAGCCCGTGTGCCTAGAGCCCGTGCTCCGCCACAAGAGAAGCCACAGCAATGAGAAGCCCATTGCACGGCAATGAAGAGTAGCCCGTTTGCCGCAACTAGAGAAAGCCCGTGCACAGCAACGAAGACCCAATGCAGCCAAAAATAAAATAAATAAAATAAATTTATGGAAAAAAAGGATGTACTACGTTGACAGATGAATGAATAAAGAAGATGTGACATACATATGTGTACACACACACACGAATATTAGCCATAAAAAAGAATGATTCTTGCCATTTGCGACAACGTGGATGGACCTGGAGAGTATTATGCTGAATGAAGTAAGTCAGACAGGAAAAGACAAATACTGTGTTTTCACTTATATGTGGAGCCTAAAGAACAA